CAAAAATAATATTTACTAGGTCTTAGAATCTTCATAATGTCGTTAGGCATCGCTCGAAGTCCGAAAGTTTGGTTTTCATTCTATGGCCCCAATTCGCACCGCCTCAGTGAATCCTAGTGTTGTTGACTCGAAAGGTTATTTTGTCGCTTTTAAGACTTTGATGTCAATTATTTCCCGAGCAGAGTATTCTATAGCATTTTTTATTTTTATTTTGTGTTCCAGAAGGTCTAACGTGATCAGTAAGGAACGGAAAATCCGACTTGAAAATATTGAAAGTCGGTCGCGCGGACGCCCTTTTTTCATATTTGATCATTTCCTGTAAACGCATAAAGTGACCCCTTTTAGTATCCGCCAAAGTTATCAAAATATCTACGCAAAAGACGGATTCCGATTGGTTTATAGATCCTCTTACAATAGAGGAGTCTGTGGACTAAATTCTGCATAGTAAGGGGGTGGGAAAAAGTGTCTCTCGTGTGAGTCCACCGTGTGCGCGGCATGGCCAGTTACGGGCGGTTTAGGTGCCAATGTGTTATTAAATTAAAGGGTAACTGACGCCAAATTTTCCTCCTTTTTTTTGGCCCCAATACATTTATCTTAGGTTAAAGAATCCTAAATGAGCAAATACACGATATAATGTGTAAAACCAAATTTTCCACAAATTTTTTTTGTCGCGTACATATCAAACTCTTTCCCCAGTGCGACGAACATTTGGTTTTCTCGGTTCCAGGTGTACGCAACCACTAACCCCACGTAATGCGCATGCTCTCCGTTACGAATTTTCAAAATGGCAGACAAGCCAAAGAGGGAAATAAAAAAAACAAAGCGCTTTTGCAATGAATACTCAACATACACCCTCGTTAGAAAGGCGAATCCACGGAATTAAGATTCAAAACTGTATGATCGATATGATATAAATCGATACCGAGGGCTAATAGTGTTAATCATTTCTGTTCGTGAGTCTGATTTGCAGCCGTGATTGTATAAGGTACGTTTGTATTGCCATTAATGCAGGCTTGAGTCTTGGTTACGGCACTCACGAAGGTTTTTATTTTTTTTTTTTCATCTTCTTCCTTTTTCTTTTTTTTTTCTTTTTCTTTTTTTTGTAACTGAACAAATTTATTAAGCTGCTTTATTTTCCCAATTTACTTAGTTTTGTAAGCAGAAGAAAAGTCCTCTTTTTTTACTCAGCTTTCACGAAATTTCCCCTCGTTTCCCCCTCTTTGAATTGTTCAAATTGTTATATTAAAACGTCTAGCAGCAAGCGAATAACTGTAGTTTTTTTTGTTCTCAGGTTTTATGGAAAGCTTACATAGATTTTGAGATAAACTTGGAAGAGTACGACAAAACACGAGATCTGTATGAGAGGCTACTAAAACGAACGCAACACGTCAAGGTTGTATTTTTTAATTATTTTCCCTAAATTCTATCTCTGCTATTTTGTTGAATCTCTTTTACAAGAGCAGATATTTCCATTATGTCCTTCCATTCGAGTATGATTGTTTTTAGTGCCTCGCAAAAGTGTACTGTGTCGTTAATTTCATCATGATATTAATTAACCGCGAACACGTCGAAGCAAATTTGCAGCCATGTTTCCCTGTATTCGCTTTCCTTGTGCAAGACTCTAGTTTCCCTCTGTGATTCTCCTGAAATGTTCTCTTTATAGGTTTGGATTAGTTTTGCACAGTTCGAGGCCTCTACAGCAACCGATGAAAGCATCATACAAGCAAGGTATGTAAAAAGGCTATCCTACATTCTCCATCGAGATCGTGACCATAGTAGTTCATAAGTGGAAAGCCTACGGTCACGCAATGCCCGATCTTGATCAAGACCGTGACCATGGTAGTTCATAAGAGGAAAGCCAACAGTCACGCAACGCCTGATGAACCTTTGCGGAGAGCCCCAGAGCGGACAACCCAATGAAAGATTTATTTGTCCTGTAGGAGAGGATTCATGGTGGAATATTTAAGTTGAAATAGTTTCTACTGCTTCAAATGCTATCAAAAAATCTGTGAAATTGAATCCTCACCTTTCTCTATTTTGTTTGTACTATCAATATTATTTTTCAGAACTGTTTACGAACGCGCCAGCAAATCTCTCAGAAACGCAGAGGGGAAAGAAGAACGAGTGATGGTACTGGAAGCCTGGAAAGAGTTCGAGGTATTATTAAAATTGGTTGTATGAATAAGGAAACTTTTTTGAAAGGTCGAATCTGATTTAATTTTATTAATTTGATCCTTTAGGACGAATATGGAGACGAAAGCTCACAAGAAAAAATCAAGAAAAAGATGCCTCGCCGAGTAAAGAAGAGGAGAAAAGTACAAACGGACGACGGAGTAAGAAATCTCTTCAAACTTCTTCAAGTAACTTTGATTGTCTGTCGTCACGCAATCCGTTGCTTATGCCAAAATGTCGCGTGACATATCGATTCTGTTTTCAGTTTTCTTACGAATTTGT